GAGTGATAATCAAGATCAACCTTGGAAGATATTGTTGTTGTACTAGCTTTCTTTATTTACTTTGTAAGACCTCGCCACTGTAAATTTGTCCTATCAATAGATGTATATATGTTTTGTCTGTCACATCTCAGGAATAACAGTACTGTAAATTCTTGGGGTGTGACAAGAAACTACCTGAAAATTTTAGATAGAGAAACTAACTCAAAATTTAGGTTTTAGATCGAGAAAGCATCTTAAATTTTTAGAGAGAGTAACTATATCAAATTCTAGAGTGAGAAAGTACCTAACATTTCTTAGAGAGAAATTATCTCAAAATTTTTAGATAGAATCTATCTCAAATTTTAAGTTTTAGATAGAGAAAGTACCTTAAGATTTTAGAGAGAGAAAATATATTATATTTTAGAGAGAATAACTGAAACTTTTTAGAGAGAGATTATCTCAATTTTTTTATAGAGAGATTATCTCAAATTTTTTATAAAGAGAAACAATCTCAAACTATAAGTTTTAGAGAGAGAAAGTATCTCAAAATTTTAGAGAAAAAAACTATATCAAATTTTAGAGAGAGAAAGTATCTAAATTATTTAGAGAGAGAAACTATTTCAAAACTTTTAGAAAGATAAACTACTTCAAATTTTAAGTTTTTGAAAGGGAAATTGTATTAAAGTTTTAAAGAGAAATTATATCAAATTTTAAAGAGATAAAGTATCTAAAATTTTAATAGAGAAACTATCTCAAAAAATTTAGAGAGAGAAATAATTTTAAATTTTAAGTTTTTGAAAGAGAGTGTATTAAAATTTTAGAGAAAAAATCGTATCAAATTTTAAAGAAAGAAACTACCTCAAAATTTCAGAGAGAGCGATTATCCCAATTTTGAGTTTAGAGAAATAAAGTATATTAAATTTTGTTACATTTGTTGGGGTTATTTTAGTGAGAGAGAAACGTGCAGGTGGCTTGGTGTTCAAATGGGAGGAAGACCTATTTCTTGACATTACATGGGGAAACGATAGAGAGAGAGGGGGGAGTGGATTTGCATTTCTAAGAAAAAGGATAGGGAAAATATCTATGTACCTCTTATTTTTTGTTTTCATATCTCAATAGACCCAATGATTTAAAATGTATCTCCTGACCCCTGATTAATTTTACTCATTTTTAACTAACTTTTTAGCTCTAACAAATATAAAAAAGACATGCTCATTTGAAACCCTTGATCTCTTTTTTAGCCCTAACAAATATAAAAAACATTCTAAACCCTTGATCTCTAATCGTGATATATTCCCTCAAAAATTTTCTCTCTCTCTCTTCCATGAGATTCTTGCAAACCCTTATCGCTCTGTATTTCCCCTACTTTTTCTCTCTAAGTCTCTCACTCTCTCTCTCTACCCCGTGTTTCCCGAAACCCTCTCACACATTTTGGGTTCTAAAAACAGGCACAATCTACATTAAATTAATCATCCACGCGAATAATATCCAACCAATCAATAGAAAAAATCCACATAAATTAAGCAAATATATGAAGAAAAATAAACCATGGAGAGAGAGTGGGAAAATAGAGAGAGAGGTTTTGGAAAAAGCTATGGAGAGAGAGATTTAGGGGAAAATCATCTGAAGAGAGAGAAATGAGTGTTTAGAAAGAATATGTTTTTATTATAGTTATTTAGAGTAAAAAAATAGGTTAAAATGAGATAAAATTAGCTTAGGGGGTTAGAATATAGAAGACTTAGAATTTCTATAATCAAGGTATATTTTAAAACCTTGAGTCTATTGAGATATAAAACTTAAAAATTTGGAGTATGGAGATATTTTTCCAAAATGATGTTACGGGCAAACCAAACAATAAATTTGCATTTTCTCGATGTCTACAAGATGCAATCTACATAGCATACACCATATTCTAGGAAATACCAATTCCATAAAATACCAATTTCAGGATACACTTTTCCACATGATTGAGAATTCTAGGGAACCAAACGGCTCCTAAAGGTTAATACAGCCTAACTAAAGAAAGATGGACTTATTTGAGAGCCCTAAATTTTGGTAAATACCTAGTGTCGACAAAGAGCAATGGTATTATTGAAAAACTGAACCTTTTTATTTCTAGTCTTAACCATATGAAACCAAAGTCTCAATCCTTGTAGTGGGAAGCCAAAGTCTCGATCCTTCAGTTGGGGCAAAGACAAGAAGTCTCAATCCTTGTAGTGGGAAGCCAAAGTCTTGATCCTTCAGTTGGGGCAAAGACGAGAAGTCTCAATTCTTGTAGTGGGAAGCCAAAGTCTTGATCCTTCAGTTAGGGCAAAGACAAGAAGTCTCGATCCTTGTAGTGGGAAGCCAAATTCTCGATCCTTCAGTTGGGGCAAAGACGAGAAAGAAAAACAGCATGCACACTCCTCACTTCTTTCTCTATAAATTCAGAGGGCAGGACCTCATGCTTAATGCACATTATTCATGGCCACCTACTTTAGCGTGATTAGAGCTTTTGTTGCTCTCTTGTTGCCTCTTCTACCATTATTCTCTATCCTTGCACATTCCTCTTTTTCTGATGCTGCATTTTGTCATGAAAATGAAAGGGTTGCCCTTTCGGAATTCAGAACTTCACTGATCCACCCAAATGAAACATCACAGGGGATCAAATTTTTAGAATCATGGAAAGGGCTCAATTGCTGTAAGTGGGAGGGAATAGAGTGCCACAAGACCACATCTCATGTGAGGAGTATAGAATTGGTCTATGTTAGATGGCCTGCTGAACTGGGGATAGGATATCTGAACGCCACTTCCTTGACTCTACTACCTCAGCTCCAGTACTGGCATTTAACATTCAACAACTTGGGTGATGTTTTGCCATTCAAAGGTCGCCTCTATCATGCTTTTGGTTTATGTACATGAAAGTTCGTTGTTTGAAGCAGTGTTCCAAAAGTCGGCCGGGTCTTTTTTACTCGGCCGAGGAGCTCGGGCTCGGGCCTTTTCCGAGCCCGAGTTATCCCGAATTGGAGGTCCAACTTCTTAAAAAGAAATTTAAAACAATTATGAAAAATTCTAAAAAAATAAGATATATATTTGTAACATGTTCATTTATATTTTCAATCATTTTGGCAAGAGTGGAAAGTATTTTGACCATGAATATTTATTTTTACGTTTTTCCCATCTTTTTTAGAAACTCTTGAAAATACCACCGGTCACAAACTCATTTTTTAAAACTCTATTTTTTTTTTCACTTTTTTAACTGCAATAAGTTGTGATTTGTTGAATTTTACTTTTAATATATTTTTCTTATTTTTTGGGATTTTTTTGTATTTTTATTTTTTTAATAATTTCACTACAGTACTCAGTCCCACTCGGCCCAGAGTTACTTAGACTCGGGTGAGTACTCGGCTGGGGCATAGGCCAAGTAGTCAGCCTGAGCCAACTTTTCGAACACTGGTTTGAAGTACCCATTTATCTCCAACAACAAATTGCTTACTTTGAGTGTTCTTCTTGTTGTGGTTACAGAGCTATCAAAGCTGAGGAATTTGAAGGAGCTAGATTTGTCTAACAATAAATTTGAGGGGAAGATTCCTGAAGAGGTAAGTATGCTTTCTTCCCTTCATGTCCTCGAACTCGGGTACAATTGGCTCCAAGGAAGTATCCCTACAACAATGGGCAAATTGTCCCGTCTCAAGGTACTTAATTTGGTTGGAAACACACTTAATGGGAGTATTCCTCCATCTTTGGGCAATTTATCATTTTTGGAGACTCTTGATCTCTATGGGAATAAACTTGAACGGGCCATACCTTCATCTTTGGGCAAACTTACTCGCCTTCGGATGTTGTATCTGGGGAGCAATCAACTTGTAGGCAGCATACCTCCAACATTGGGGAACCTCTCAGCTCTTCAAGAGCTTTACCTTTGCAACAATCTCCTACGAGGTTTCATCTCTCCTGAACTAGGTAATCTGCGCTCATTAGTAACCCTGTCGCTCTTTCAGAATGACTTATCCGGTGATTTTTCCTTCATCATTCTTGCAAACCTATCCAACCTAAAAGCTGTGGACATTTCCAATAACATTAAGTTGGTCATTTTACCATCAGATGAAGCTCCCTTGTTTCAGCTTTCCACACTAATTTTGTCTTCATGCGACATGAGCAAGTTCGACATTAGCATTCCAACCTTCCTTTCTTCTGAAACCCAATTAGAATTTGTTGATTTTTCAAACAGCAACATTGTTGGGCGTAGCCCCACTTGGTTACTTCAATCCACGAAGATATTGATACTGCATCAGAACCATATTATGGGACCCCTTTTTTTGCCCAAAATCCCCTCTAGACTCGAGTATTTGGACATCTCTAACAATCACATAAGTGGGGAACTACCAATAAACTTTTCAAGTTATTTTCCAAATCTCACAGTATGCCTAATTTCTCAAAATTTCCTACGTGGTAACGTTGCTAATTACATCAACAACCTAAAGCAATTGGTCATGTTAGATTTGTCCACAAATAACATTTCAGGTAGTTTGCCTTCCTCAACCTATAATTTTAAAATCTTGGACTTATCAAACAACAAACTCATTGGAATGCTACCTTCTAATCTAACTGGTGGATATCAACTAAAATATTTGAGTTTGTCCAATAACTACTTGGAGGGACCCTTGGCTTCCAAATACCTCAACCTCTCTAGCTTGGAATCATTGCATCCTAGTGGCAACAGATTTAGTGGAACGATACCAGAAAATCTATTATTGAGCAGTCAATCATTAAAAGTTCTAGACATTGCAGATAATAACATGTTGGGTGCCATTCCTACTGAAATAAATAGGCTCGTAAATTTGCAAGTGTTAAATTTAAGAGGTAATCACTTTAAGAGTGATATTCCATTCAGTTTGTGTCAGTTACAAGTACTGGTTGTCTTGGACCTATCTCAGAATAACCTCCGAGGTCCTATACCTCCTTGTTTTTATAATATCTCTTCGTTGTCCAGTGTGGTCCCTACCCTTGGTGTTAACTCAGTTATTGATGTTGATCTTAGTGATTTAAATGGTCCTGCTTCATTTGCTCAAGAAGAAGAGGTCACTTTTGCCAAAGGCCGGGTGTATAGTTTCACTAGAGATGTTCTCTCACACGACAGGGCTAGATTTGTCTGGAAACGATTTGAGTGGTCCAATTCCATCCGAAATGGGGCGGTTGAACCATGTTAAATCTGTCCAATAACCATGTAACAGGACCAATCCCCGAGTCTTTGGGAGAGTTGTCAAGTCTCACAACTCTAGATCTTTCTCATAATGTGCTTTCTGGTCAAATACCTCCTCAACTTTGAAAACTTAGCTTTTTGTCCATCTTTTCTGTTGCAAATAATAATCTATCAGGTTGGATACCAGAGGGGACCCAATTTTGTACTTTTAATGAGAGTTCTTTCAGTGACAACCCTGGGTTACATTCTCTTCAAGGAGCAGGATGCTCCAGAAATATATCAAAAGAGGCACCAAATGCATCAACAAATGAAGAGGGAGAAGATGGGGACGAAGAAGAGGAAGAATGGCTGGAGAGAACTCCAGCGTTTTATGCTTGTGTTGCATTGGGCTATGCAATCAGCTTGTGGGGAGCTCTTATATTTCTATTTCTCAACAAGAGCGGTTTCATTTGTGTGAGAGCCATGGATAGGACACTTATTCGTATAATTCCTTCATGTTATAAATTAGTATGATATAATTTTTTCTATCTTGGATTATTGAAAACCGGTAGGGGCCTTCTCCCCCACTGATTTACCCGAAAAAAAAATAGTGTGCACTTCATTTGCGGCATGCTTACAAAATTGACGTGTGAGTGCTATGTTCTATGTCCCCCATAAATGTGTAAAATATCTATATTTTATGATGTTGAGATTATCAATAAATCATCAACGCCAATCTCTTGTCAAAATGGTTATTAGCCCTTAAGAATCATGAACATGTTTTTGTTTTATCTTATTACCTTTGTGTTGTTTGTTTTCCTCGAGCACCAGTATTTATGAAAGGCATTTGTAAATTCCAAAAATTTTCTTAAGTGGAAGTATACCATGCATCTACTCCATTGAGCAAAACTTATATTACGAATGTATTTTAGATCCTAAATTTTGTGGATGTGATATCTAGAATCCAGCAACCAAACTCAAAGAAAAATATATTTAACTCTCATAATGTACGCCTAACAAAATGGCATCCCAAGATTGATTGGAACCATCCAACTTTTGGAGGAAATGATCTAAATATTCAAGAACTCAAAATTAAAATTTTATATTAACAAATAATCATGTAGTTATAGTCAGACGGATCCTGAAATTTCAAATCAAATGCAATCTCCCAAATTAGTCGGAGGGACTTACTGTATTGTATTCTCCCGAGGGAGCATAGTATATATGTTATTTGTACCATTTACTTTTGGTACATACAATTGATTTTTTTATTAAGCTCAAAATCCAAAAGAAATTTTTTTGAATTTGTAACATACCCAAGCTATCAGATTTTACATTGAATGGTTATAAATAATTGAAATATATCCAACATTTTTTGTATTAATATATCCAACATTTTTTTATATTCCAAAAATTGAGTGTAGGAATAAAGAAAGGAAAAAGTTTATAAAGGATGTTGGCATATAATGTAGAACTACGGATGCCCCTCAAAAATCTGTCAAAAAAGGTAGCTCTAATGTTGAAAAATCCTTTGATTGATCATCTCAACATCAAGATATATGACTATGAAAAATAAAATGATTTTAAGTCTTAAAAATAATGCATTTTACAACATTATCTACATCATTCATTTTCAAGATTTTTATATATTTATAGATCTACTTGATTTTAATCATTTTTTAAACTTAAAATTTTATAATTAGATATAAAAATAAATTTTAAAATTATCCTAATAACATTTTACATGAAAATTATATACCGTGATAAAATTTGAAGCGCCCCGTACCTCTACACCTATGAAGGCGTCCGTATGCCAACTGCACCATAAAGAAATATGGCAATACCTTTACCGCCATGAGGCCATGAAAGAGAGAGAATGGTCTAAATATAAACAACGCCATTAACATGAATTTCATTAAATTACATTCAATTTTTTGTTCCAATCCCTATTTGTGGTCATTAAATTACATTCAATTTTTTTGTTCCAATCCCTTTTCCACAAGGCATGTCAGCATATCCTGTGTTATGATATGCATCCAAGCATGATAACCGTTTTCCATTGTTCGTAAAATCGCTCGATCTAACAGCTAATCGCTCGGTTAGATCAGTCGGTTTCGGTTTTGGGCGGTTAGAGTGATCAACCGGTATTTTTAAAAAAAATCAAAAAAATGTATATAAATTTTGAAAAATAATAAATTTGATTTATAATGACTTTTTAAAAAAAATTTACAATATGGTAAAGATTAAAAATTGTTTTGGTCATTAGTACTCACTTTTATATCTTCCCATCTTTTTTTAGAAACTTTTAAAAATGGCCATTGAAAAATATAAAATGGGTTAAAATTTATTTTTTCATTAATTTTCAACTTTATTTTAATGTGTTTTGTTTTGATCCTTCATTATATGCTTTTCATATTTTATTTATTGTATTTTTTTATGTTTTTTAACACTTTTTTACCTCCCGAGACTTGTCCGGTTAGAGCGGTTGAATAGGCCGGTTAAACCGCTTTCAGGCCCATATCCGGTTAACCATTCCGCTTCGATTTTGTGAACACTGCCTCTCTCAATGCATGCACGTCCCACTCTCTATCTATCTCTCTCTCATTAGTTAGGGTTTTGATATTATAGAAGTTAGAAAACCCTAAAGGGACCTTTCATTTAGTATTGTGTGCTTAATTGTGGAAAGAGAAAGAAATATTGGTCCTATTTTTCCACATTTAAAGTTTGCTATTGCAATAATTTTCAGGTTCAACAAAACTTAACATAGTTCGCATTAAAGTTAAGTCATAGTAATTCCTTTTATTTTAGTTTTTTTATTATCTTTATTTGTATTCTTTAGGTATTTATATTGAAGGTAAGTCATAATAATTCTTTTTATTTATCTATTGCATTACCTCTGTTTGTAATTTTTTTAGGTGTTCTTTGTATTTTTTAGGTGTTTATACGGAAGGTAAGTTATAATAATTATTTTTATTTATTTTTTGCAGTATCTTTGTTTGTATTTTTTTTAGGTGTTCTTCCCATTTTATGAAGATTGGGAAACACATTAATCTTTAAACGTAAGAAAAACATTGCTCTTCCCAAGGTCTGCAATTATTTTTTAAAAAAAAATGCATAAGTACTTGTTTTGAATTAATTTGTACATGGTATTATTTTATGGATGTTCTATTTGAAGTATATAATAATAAACAAAAATTACAAACAATGAAAATGGCTACAAATTTTTACTCTATTTCGCAACATTAGTGAGTTTCCCCACATAAATATTTTTTTTTTATGGTTGCAGTGGTAAAAAAACAATTATTTTTTATGTTTTTCTATCAAAAAAAATTGTGTTTCCATTAGATAGTCAATGTTTTTCAATCTCAATAGTGACACATAATAGTCTCTGTGGAATATTATTTAATGTAAAATTTCTTATTTTAATCTCTATGAAAATTTGTTTTGACTAACTTTATTCGGCTGTGATTCTGTTACAACATAAGCATGGTGTTTTCTTCCATGGATTGATTCGTAGAACATGTATGGATGGGTTTAGTTTGCATAGTTTCATTATATCTTTTTTAGTTTTTTTAATTTGTACTTACATTATATAGTTTTATCATGCTTTTACTTGATTTTGGATTTCTTTGAGATAATGGTTCCCTGTCATGCTTCATGGTTTTAGTTATATTGGTTCAGTTTCATTAAATTTTGTGCTTTTATTAGATAGTTTTGTCATGCTTTTACTTAATTTTGGATTTCCAATACGCAAAGTCCTTAGATAGAAGTGCTTCTCGAAGTGTTTTGTGTTTGTTTTTTTTTTTTTGTTTTAGATAAACTTTATGGTTGGAGAGAGAGGTAGAGAGAGAGAGTACTTAAGAAAACTTTTATATTCCAGAACCCATAGAGAGAGCACATAGGGAAACTTTCATATTCCATAACCCATATTCCATTCATGGCGTTGGGTTTTTTTTTAGAGATATTTTATGGGTTGCAGAGAAAGAGAATACTTGAGGAAACACTCATATTTCAGAACCCATATTTTATTCATCGCAACAACATGTCAACAACATCAAAAAACACACACAAAGATAAAATTTGAGAACAAAAAAAAATTTAAAAACAACGATACCAAATACTAAAAATAAAAAATAAAATATAATAGATTAATTGTTTACCCTACCGCTGCTAAAAAATTGTCTTCTACCACTGTTGTTGTTGCTTCCAAGAAATTGTCTTCTACCACTGTTGTTGTTGCTTTCAAGTATGCAATGGGCTTCTTTTGAGAGAGAGAGAGAGATTGGCAACTTGAAGATTCCTTGAGGGGCTCAGTGGTTATGCAAGGCGCATCTTGCAATCACGGGTCAAACTTGATCCATGATCAGTAATTGTCATCTATCACTATTGTTGTTGCTTTCAATTATGCAAAGAGTTTCTTTTGAGAGAGAGAGAGATTGACAACTCGAAGATTCCTTGAGGGGCTCAATGGTTATGTAAAGTCGAGATGCATCTTGGCAATCACAGGTCAAACTTGATCCATGATCAGTCAATTGTTTCTCTTTGTGTTCATTGTTAAAATTATCAGAGAGAGCTCATAGGGATTTTATTAAAAATTTTGTATGTCTTTTTCCATGCTTTTAATGAACTATGAAAGGATTGGTTGTTAGGTTCACTATCAAGGGATTGTATTTTCTAAAATTGTATGAGGTGCCCACCTTATACTATGAAGGGATTGCTTCCGGATTATGTCATTTTGGTTTGAATATCTTCCTAATTGAAGGAAATCAAGAAGCCCAACATATTCTCTCCAAAGCCCTCGCTCCATAGCTTCTCCATCACAAGAACCAAAAATGGTCATTTCTTTGCTCTCTAAAAGTATGAGCCAGTAATAATACTAATAAAAAAAAAAATTTATATTTTTTCATTGTTTGTCATAATATTCAATAAAACAGTTGATAAAACTACTAACCAATTACTTAATCTATATTTTAAAGTGATATTACATAATAAGAAATAGATCATAACTCTAAAAACCACTTCTGTCTTATTTGTTGTGTGAATTGCTGAATTAGTGTTCAATATATATTCAAAATTTGTAATGACAATGTAATAACAAGAAATGGATCGTATCCCTAGAAACAACTCAATTTGTAAGAGTTCGTTGAACAAAAAGATGAATGTAGAGATTCACGTTCACATGCTCATCTGAGAGTGATGGAAAAGGCTTATCATATGCAATATAAACAGTCTCAAAATTCAGAAACTAATATTTCATAAGGTATTTCTACACCAATGACAAATATTATTCCTTCATCATCAAACCAATTCTCTAATGACCAAAATTTTTTCTACTCTGAGAGAAGAGATCTTCATGTAATATTGACAATGACAATGGTACGTACTCAAAATTATTGTCGTTCTACACAAATTTTCTTCACATATTTTTTAGAGAAAATAATTGTAACAAATTATAAATTTTTGTTACTTTTTCCTTTTAAATTATAACTACTACTCCATATTTTTATAACTAAAAATTTCAATTAAAAATTTCTTATTATCTAAGGGGTGACTCATGATAAATCAATTTTTTGATTAATAGAACTCTTTGATCATTGAATATTTAGTTAATTTGTTACAAGTAATTGCATACGTGTAATTCAACTAATATTAACTAAAGCAGTGAATCATAGGGAGATGTGAAATTTAGGCGAGCTTTCACAATAAATAATGCCAGAACAACTTAGCATAAATAATGCTAGAACAACTTAGCAATGACGCGTGGTGTTAGAAATCCATTGCATAGAAATAATCTCAATTAATTAATTAGGAGCAAAAGTTTGAAAAGGGTTATCTCTAGTTATTGACCTCAGGTCAGATTCTGATTTTCACATTAATGAAGACAAAATTCACACTATAAAGGGTTGGCTCACACCAATTACATATGGAAAAAGTTTATATAAGGTTGACACTTTAAAATGTAGAATCGTGGTGCACATCTAAAATCTTTTGAAAAATATTATTTTGATGCTGGAAAAAATATCTAATTGATCATCTTGACTTCAAGTTGTATGGATATGGAGAAAAAAAAAGATTTCAAGTACTAAAAATTATACATCGTGCAACAAATTATTTGGAGCATCCATTTTCAAGATTTTTATGTGTTTATAGATATATTTGATTTAAACTATATTTCAAATTTCAAATGTTATAATTACGGATAAAAATAGATTCTTGCACCATCTTAAAAAATTTCAATACCAAAATTGCTTGTCATGTGAAGAGGTGCATCTTTGTTTCGTCATCGAAGTTGCAACCTTATGCAAACCACACCCATACATACATACAGGTGATGGTTGGGATAGTGAGATGGTTTAATGTGAGTGGATTGGAGAGGAATTTGAAGAGAGATACATGTAGAAAAAGTCCAAGAAACGTTGAGAGAGTTGTGCGGAAGAAAGGTTGCTAATTAGCTGGAGAGAGAGACAGATTGATGCGGAATATTACGGATTGACGAGTCCCAATAAAAAAGCCACTGTGGCTAAGTTTGTTAGATGCAATTTTTATCAAGTCTTCGTTAATTTGGACATCAAAAGTCTTCATGTTAGCTCTAATATCAATTTCCAACACTGACTATTAAATTTGAAGCTAAAAAAAATGGTACAAGTCTTGTGGATTCGTGAACACTTATTTTTATGGCCAAATCTAGATAACGTTTTACAATATATACTATTTTTAAGACTTGAAAGCCTTTTTTTTTTCACAATCATAATGGTATGATGGATTTGAAGGTTTTCTAACACTAAAACCACAATTTTCGGTGAGTTTTAACATGAGGGTCTACTTATTTTGATAGAGCTCCAGCCTTATCAAAACATTTTCCTTTCCTTTAAAGATACAATGTTTTTGCATATGTTCCTAACCAGGAGAATGTTAGGACAAGGGTCAAGAAAGTTAATTGAAGATATAAGAGCAAAATCTAAAAAAAAAAAAAAAAGGAGCATATGAAAGAGAAAAGCAAAGTAGAAATAGGACAAGTGCATAAATAACTCTCCATAAGGCAAAGAGCCAAGAAAGTTAATTGAAGATATAGGAAGAAAATGTTAAGAAAAAGAGAAAGCATAGGGAAGAGAAAAAGCAAAATAGAAGTAGGACAAGTTCATAAATAACTCGCCATAAACTGTATACCAGAAAATGAAAAAACGGGACGCCTTTATTACAACATGGAGCACCTATAAGAGACTTTCAAAGAGATCTACACCCCTCAAAATATGCATAAGAAAAGAAATCAAAAGAATGAGCCTCTCCCTCAGTAATGAAGGACCACCACATTGTACTCAACCACAGCATCTCCAGTGCTCGGATCAAAAGCATGGGTCTTGGCCAATGCATAGCCACGAGCCAGCCTAAATGCGCCACTTCCTCCCACCACGGCCAACTCTCTCACACCACTCATTGCCGCGTTGCGCCCTAGAATGCTAAGGGTGCTCCCGTTGTATTTACCCTCCACAAACATATAATTTAGAGACATTAAAAGGCCAAGTTCTTCTTGCGCAGCTGAAGCGTAGATCCCTTGAGCCCTCCCTATGAGCTTCGAAGTCAGTTCAGGTCCCTTTGTGAGGGGATCGTCGATCATCATGATTAGGCCGAAGCCAGTGTCTGATGTGTTGGTGGAGTGTGCACGTGCTACTTCGATGGCAGTCGGGTTCGGGCCGCTTACAATGTCATGGAAATAGAAGTGGAGGTGGCTCACTTTCTCTTTCCCAAAACCGATCATGGGGTGTTGGTTTTTGGGGAGATGCCCGGGTCTTTTTGCGAAAACGGAAGCGACGAGGAGAGAGAAGATGAGGAGAGAGAGGGCAGAGTGAGAAGAGGTCTTAGAGAGATGTGAGACCATATTGCCAATGCAGAAGAAGAGTGAGGGTGGGAAAGGGTGAAAGTGTTTGAGAATGAGGCGAGGGGCGTATATATATTATATATAGTGAGGGTTAAACCTTGAAAAGTTTATAGGGAGACTCAAAATGAACCGTGTTAGTGATGTTGCTCTTAATTTTCCTTTGTTGACCCACTTAATGTCTTCCATGACTTGTGGGGAGGACTTCATGTGTTTTTTTTAGACTTTTCCAGGATTTCGGATGCTTGTCGAATCGACATAAGAGCTCCTAAACTTTACACTCTTATTGATGAATAATGAAGCCATAAAATTAAAGTTTAAAAAATGGTGATTCGGATCACAGCCGGCAATCAGATCCAGAACCAGTCAGGTCGTCCCTGATCTCTCAAAATATTGGGAACCATCTGCTATCCTTAGTGAATCGGCTGGTTCTGACCAGTTCTATAGAGAATTTGTCTGAACCTGTTTCATTTTTTATTATTTAATTTTTTTAAAAAAATTTATTGGTAGTTCACTCTGCCAAAACGTCGATCTACAAAACCAAACACATTTTTCAAATGAGCAATCCTAATCACCGATCCGTCTTTTTTTAAATCCTGAAAAAAAACATTTTTCTTTTTTTTTTTTTGAAAAGTTTGAAGCCATAAAACCTTTGCAAAGAGTATTATTTTCATCTAATCAGAACAACCTATACGAGTTGGTCAGGCAAAGCGTGTTTAATTTTCTTGTATATGGACGCATGATAATGGCGCAGTAAGAACGGAGGACACATGTCGAGAAGGGAATGGTTACTTCTGTAGCCCTATTGAATTTGGAAAGTTTGTATGGCCCTTTTGAAAAGTATCATGTCAAAGTGTGGGGTATGGATGTGGAAAAAAACGCAGCGGTTTATACACGCAAGAAACGAGATTCGGAGCTTCCAATAGCACCCATGGTGTCATGTTGGATACAAAAAGAGAGAGAGTTTTGGAAGTATGCAAATAATTTCTTTAATTCAAAATACAGAGAGACATGGAGGGTGTAAAAACAAATAGAGAGAGAAAGAGGGAAAGAGAAGGTTAACTTGTCATAAACATAAAATAAATAAATAAATAAATAAAGAGAGAAAGAAAATGTGCTTGCTAGTTTGTCAAAGTTTTTACTAATTGAGAACCAATGTACCATATTGGATAACATTATTGATGCAACTCTTAGGTGGCCATCTTGTTTCAACTTATAAGACACGGTAGGTATCTGAATGTAGCATAAATGATAACAAAAACAAGGATAGGACGGAGATTACGTACCTTTCATGGATCTAATCCCTCTTTTTCAAATTGAATGACAAATATTATGGGTTTTTATTAATAATATGCTTCAAGAGCATGATATTACAATGGAGTTAGAACATTATAAAAAGAGAGGTAAGACAAACTCCATGTTTGCCTAATCCATCAGCTATATCATTTACTTCACCAAGAGTGTGGCCAAAAGAAATCCTCATATCCGGTAATGCACAAAGGTCTAAAATTTTAATCCAAAGAGGGAAAAGGGACCATGGGACCCTTTACTCTCTCATGCACCATTTGATAACATTAAGTGAATCCCTTTCCACAATAATATCTCCAGTAAAACACTTCTTAGTAACAATTAACAAACCTTGATGGAGAGCAGTCAGTTCAGCTTGATTGGTTGTCATAAGGCCACATGGACCAAAGAAAGAGAATAGGATCCCACATGTACTATCACGCAGTAGACCCCCACTAGCACGCAGTAGACCCCCAACACCTGCAGAACTTTAGTTTCCAAAAGAATTGCCATCAAAGTTAAGCTTGAGGCATGTTTTTGGTGGAGCAATCCAAGTCCTAGTAGGACTTGTAGAAGTAGTAAGGAATTTGCTAGATATTTTAGATTGACATAAATGTCAGTCCGAAGAACTCCCCATCCTACAGACGTTGCTGAAAACTAGTTCCAAAACGACTGTAAAATTGAGTCCTTGAGACGTTCAGCACTTTGAGAAATCTCGACAAACGTTCCTCTGTTACGTTCTAGCCTAATGTGCCATAGGATAGCAATTCTGAAAATTTTCCATAGCAATACACCCTTCTTTGGAAGACCATATGCAGCAAGATGATTATTGATGCCAACGATGTTCCATGGGAGCATAAGGAAGCGACCCATAAACTAGAAGGCCCAAAACCATAAGCTTGAAGCAAAAGGGCAATAGAGGAATAGATGAAAAGATGTGTACAAGATTCTTTATCACTTTTACACATCAAACAAATATTAGGTAGAATTTTACCCTTCTTTTACAAATTGTCTATGATTAGACATTTTCCTTGACAGGCGATCCATAAAAAAGCATGAATTTTAATAGGGATAGGTCACTTCCAGATAAAACCAAGAGAGAGATTTGTGTCATGAATCCCAGATAGAACCAAGAGAGAGATCTATGTTACAAACCTTATCCATAAAAAGAAGCTTGTATGTTGCTTTAACAGAGAAAATGCCATTAGATTCTGATTCCCAAATAATTCCGTCCTCAAAGTTATGAGAAATATAAACAAAATCTAACTGAAGAATGAGGCTTTGAAGCCACGAGATAACCATATCTGGCAACCTATTATAAAGGCAATTGATGTTCCAAACTACACGGTTTGATGACGTGAAAGAAATCAAGTCCAAAATTTTAGCCTCCAGTGTAGCTACTTTAGCAAACAGATATGGAGAAGTACAAGAAAGAGATGCATCTCCCAGCCATTTATTGAATCAGAAATAAGTATTAACTCCATTTCCAACAATCCATCGGATATTACTGAAAACCACATTTTTGTAACTATAGATATCCTTCTAGATCTGAGAAGTGAAGTTACCACATCTTTCTTTCTTAATCAAGTGGGTCAAAGGATCAAAGCCACACTGAGCAATTAGCACATCTTTTGAAAGATGATTTGAGTCTTGAAAAATTCTCTACGATAAGAGTGCTCAATTCATAAGTTTAAGAGTTCTAATACCCAGTCTTTTTAATTTTGAGGGCATACAAATCTAGTCCCAATTTACAATATGAAATTTTCATGAAGTGAGGCTTTACTTATTTTAATAAGACTGCAGCCATATCAAACCATTTTCCAATTATGTTATATCTCTCCTCGTCCAAGGTGGGTGTTCGTGCCAAATCAAGCCATGGAAATCAAAATTGGACACAATTGTTATGAGTCCTAGGACTACATCCTCTCTTCATAACCTATTTTTGAAATGGATCTTTAACAGAACGTATTAGGTATTTAGGTATATATAATCAGTAACGTGGAGAACATGAACGTGTAAAAAGAAACAAATTTTTAAAATTAAAATGATAATTTTTAAAGGAAAATTGTAAACTGTTGATTTTTTTTGAGGGAGAGAGCACAATTCTTTAAGATGGATGTTCCCCCAACACATATTCCAATTTACCATCAGAATTTTCATGGTTTTCAATATTGTATATTTTATCACCTCAACACATGTACGCTTTTTCTTTTACTCTGTTTTTAAGTTATCTTCGAACTTATCATGCACGTTTCACTGAATAATTTTCTAGAACTCATTTCCTCCCTCATTCACTCTTTTTATTCCGTTTCTTAGGACGAAAATTGAATTCTTAATACTGTGCCATACATTTACTATTGTGTATAAAGATGGATGCAATTTCTATAAGGCCCACGCTTTATGAAAACAAAAGAAAAGCCTCATCTCAATCTTTGTTCGGAAAGTAATTTGGGCATAAAAAATTTCCATGTTGGCTCTAAAATCAATTTTCAACAATGATTATGAAATTTGAAATTAAAAAAATGGTACAAATTTTGTAGATCCGTGAACACTTATTTTTAAGGCGAAATAGATAGTCAAGATAACGTTTTACAATATATACTATTTGAAGGGCTTGAAATCTTATTTTTTCACAACCATAATGGTCAAGGCCATGATGATCTATTTGAAGGTTTTCTAACTATTGAAAATTATAGAAACCATATATTGAGTTTCCTATTTTTTATATTACAATATACTAAGTTTTTTACATTAAGTTTCCTACTTTGTGGGATTACTACTATAGTGAGATTTATTTTCTAAAAGACAAGAATTGTAACTCTATAAATATCTGACAAACAAAAGTATTCCCTATGAATGTGATACCGGTTTATCCTCCGTGGATGTAGGTACTATAGTCGAAGCACGTACATGTTGTGTTGATTTATTTTTCTTTTCAATTTTTGTTATTGCAATTTCTACATGGTATCAGAGACCAATTTATCAGTAGCGATCTATTGCTCACCGGTGGTTGCTTCGTCTCTCTTGATCTTGCTTCGTCTCTCTTGATCGTAGTCCATGTCTTGTGGGTTTGTTGAAAATCGTGGAGCGAGTTGAAGCCCTCATTTTTTCTTGCACCTCTTGCGATTTTTATTTTTATTTTCTCCTTGCACCTCTTTCGTGTTTTTTTTTTTTTTTTCTTTGCTCCTCTCTTGTTGAAGCCGGTCCCTTTTTTCATACATGTTTTTGGCTTGCACCTCTTGCAAAACGATGGGCCCATCTCTCGGTTTTTTTTTTTTACTTTCTCTTATTGCAAAACATTGGTGCACCTATGGTTCTATCTCCAGGCTGCGAGATAGAGAGAAAGAGAGAGAGTCGCTGAATTAAAAAAAAGCCGTCTGTTGAACCTAAAACCTTGCTCTGGTGCCGGCATAAAAAGTAAGAGGCTAGAGAGAGGATAAAGCAGGACGGTTTTTTTTTTTTAATGAGGTGAAACAAGACGTCTCCTATGTATGTGGTTTCGGACCTTGTTGAAATTTTGTCAACAACTCAGAGAGAGCCCAACTAATCAATTTAGTTTTCTGGCTTTATCTTTCTTCTTGTAATGACAGATCTAGAACCTAACTCTAGCATAAAACTTACTATTGTTCCAAGTTAATTATCTTATTTGGTTGAGAGTTGTTTGTAGTACTTTCTTTAGAAAACCTAAACTTGGACACAGACTAGGAAAAAAAATCATGAATAGCTCCCCATACGACAAGAATCAAGAAAGTTAA